AAAAGTCAATAAAATTTTTTGAATTTTTTTAATCTAAAAATATCAAATTAACAATCACATAAATTTAAAAAAATTATTGATTAGTTTTGAGGTATCATGTGACTATACCTCATATCAATCACAATTCATTATGTTCCCACATATTTTTTAATTACTCAACACAAATTTGTGAGTCATACTCCTTTCATCAATCACAACATCATTGAAACATCACGCGTTGGCGGTGCCTAAGATCAACAAATAACTTCTCCATGAATTTGCCCCCCATTCACTAAATAATTTTTCCAATGGAAGTAGTGTGAATTGGCATTGTGTTGTGTTGTGTTGTGTTTGTCGGCCATGTGTTGCTTAGTCAAGCTGTCCATCACTTTCCCAACACAAGTCTAGTCTAGGTCTCCCTCTTTCTCAATTAATCATCATCATCATATCCGCTATTTTAGTCAAAAAGCCAAAAAAGATCATCCGAATATGCTTAGGTGGAGTCGTCATTAGAGTGTTGAATTGACATTAAATTTAAAATTAAATTTTTTTTTTATTACAGAAAAATCCTTCCACTCTCTCGCAGGTCCAAGACAGCGCCCTTGGAGGAGATCACCAAGGTCCGAGTAAGAGACTATAAACTGAAAGCTTGTCCCGATCTCCCAAGGCAAGCTCTGCTTAAGTCAGGACTCGCACAGCGGGGGAGAATTAAACCCACCAGGGTGTCCTGTTGTCCGTTCTGAGTAAGAGACTATAACCTGGAAGCTTGTCCCGGAGAGAATTAAACCCACACCAAGTAGTTGATAAGGCATCCTTGAGGTCAACCTCCTAACCAACTGTGCTACGCACAGGAGATTGGCCCAAGGGGAGTTGAACCCAAGACCTAGGGGCTTAAACCCTAGGCCCTTACCAAGTTGCCACTCACCCCTGGGTTTAAAATTGATTTAATCATAATTGATTTTGAACTTTTGAATTAGAATCATAATTGATTTTGAGCTTTTGAATCTATACTGAAATTAAGAGTTATTTTGATAAGTATGGTAAAAATTAATTTTTATTTTTTTTTTACTCCAATTGAAAAAATATATAAAAAATAAAGAGATGATTTAACTCAAAATAAATTAAAAACTAAAAAGTAATAAGCCTAATTAATTATAACCCAATATAATTCAAGTTGATTCGGATTGCAATCAAGAGTGCACCAAGAATAAATGAATTAATCAATAAATAAATAATTAATATTTAAACATAACATAAATAAAAAAATAAAGTATTATTTAATATAAATTAATAATTTTATAATATAGTGAAATACAACTCAGTACAACTTAAATCCAGTAACATAATAAAATAAAATCAACTAGTGTGAAAATCAAACTCAAGTTTCTAATAGTGTTTTGGTTCACTTACATTTATCTAATATAAAATTAAATATATTATAATAGACTAATTAAGTGGAAATATATCAAGATAAATAAAATTTTATGTAAGTTTGGTCTTGAGTTAGGGTTCATTTGAAAAGCGGGTTGGTCTTTTAGCTATTAGTCTGGGACTAAAAAATATCGTTTGGGAAGATTTTTTAATTTTTTTGATTTTTTGTGAGAGAAATAATGTGATGACTGTGAGTTGAATGCGTTATTTTGTCTTATTAGACTAAAAAGCCTATTTTATTTTTTTGAGTGTAAAACGACGTAAAACGACGTCGTTTTGACAGATTTAAGCCATTTGAGCCACAAAATTTTAGATTACCAAATATTTTCTTTTATTTTTTTGTGACTATTTTAACAAAAAAAATCCCAAATCTTAACTTTCCAAACCAACTCTTAGTTCAGCTTAAACAAATTCTATACTAAATCAATCCAATCTTATTGAATTGATCATTTGAAAACTCAAAATTAAATCAATATGCTCAAAAACCAAACCAAGCAAATCCAAATATATCGGTTCCGTTTTTCAGTTTATTATGTATTTTATTGAACCTCAAATGCCGGGGAGAAGATATAATGAACTACTTAGATAATGACATCTCAGCATCCGTCAATGGGTGTGACCTTAGTTGTCGTTTGATAATTGGCTTTTTTTAATTGATTTTTTAATTATTTTATTTTGGGATTAAAAATTTATTTAGTTTGATGTTTTTGATTTTTTTTGTTATTTTTGTGAAAAAAAAATAAAATTATTATAATTTAAATGTGATATTTTATTTTATTAACATATTTAACCTATTTTATTTTTTTATATTTTTTTAATAAAAAAAACTCTAGCCAAACAAATACAATGTGCTGGGCTTTTATTTACAACTCTGATTCAGAGCCTCCAAATGATTTGTGTTATTTTTTAGCAAAGCTGTACCTTTGGCACAAGGATTACCTAGAGGTAGTACTCAACAAGAATGTCTAAACACACTTTTTAGTTTTTTAAAATTATTTTTTCATAACTACTACATAAAGAGTCATAATTAAAATAATATTCATAATGCATCATAATTAATATTATAATGAGTCATAATAAAATAATAATTAATATCATAATAAGTTATAACTAAATACCATAAATATCATAACTAGAATATACGATATACACTCAAAATCAGACGTGTATTATAGAATTTTTCATAAAATGACTATGGCAGGATGGATAGCTCGTGCATTGGAAAAGTTCTTAAATTGTCAAATTATAGTAATGTTGGCATAGTGATCACATGTTATTTTGGTATAATTCTAACAAACTTTAAAGAAAGTTTAGGATTGATTTTAACTTATCTATCGCAACACTCATTCACGGTCAAAATTAATAAACACTTTAATACATAAAGTTAGATCCCACTTTATCAATTTTTTATCCTGTAACTTATCAATTTTTTATCCTGTAACACTTTAACACATTTTTAATCACGTCATTGTGGATGTTCTAAGGTTATATTTAAAGGTCATGATTCGCTCTGATGGTCGACAACCCGACCCAAACCTGCCTGACTCATGGAGCTTTTATTTGATTAGGCCCGCACTCATAGGCCCTGTTTGGTAGAGCTGTGGGAAAGTGCTTATAGCTTATGTCTTAACAGCTTATACCTTATAACTATGAACATAAGCTGATTTCTGACTTATAAATTAAGCATCTCCTGCCCCACTCAAAGAATAAGCTGATTTCTGACTTACAAAAAGATATAAGTTGCATTGTTAAGCTAAACCAAACACATCAAAATAACTTAAATTAAGCTGAAAGCTTAAATAAGCAGCTTTTAAGCTGCACCAAACAGGCACATAGTGGCTCATCCTGACCTAAATAAAGTTTTGGGTTGGGATTGGACTTAGATATTGAAACTAGACTTGGTCCGTCAATCAATAAGATTTTTTTTTGGTAAATTATAAATACACTCCCTGAGATTTGATTAAAATACGAATCACCTTCTGTAGTTTTGAAAATTACATTTCACCCTTTGAGATTTCTAATTTCATAACAAATCGCACATTTTATTAATAAATCATCAAGTCAATTAACAGTTTTTAATGATGTTAAAAATATGTTTTATTTAATAATTTAGGTAATTTTATTAGGGATTTTTGGTGGAACCCCCATTTTGGGCCTTTTTATTAGGGTAAAGGATAACCCAATTAATTTTCTTTCAAAAAGTCCCTGAGTAAGAAATGCTTACCTTAATAAGGACATTTTATAATTTCTATTTTTTTTTATCACAATATTGCCCTTATATATATATAGTATCATACGTATGAAAAATTAGAAATCTGAGCTCGTAGCCGATGAAGACGATCTCCAAATCGATCATACTTCACAAAATCGATGAAGACGATCTCCAAATCTAAAGATCTCGCAGCCGAACATCTCTCACTTGTTCAACAATAGATGATCTCGCAGCCGAACATCTCTTACTTGGTGGCCGATGATCAACACTCTCAATTAAACGAAAGTTTCATTGAGATTTGTGATTGTTGATCGAGTTGTAGAGGTTTTTCTTCTCAATTAGGTATGTTGATTTGTAATTTTTTATTTTTATTTTTGTTTGTTTGATTTATTTTTATTGTGTTTGATCTGATTTCGTTTGACTGAATCAGAGTAAAATTTTACTTTGATTCTATTGCTGTGCCTTTTGTTTCAGAGAATGAGAGTAAAATTTTACTCTGGTCCGAATCCTCTGTTTACAATGAGAGTAAAATTTTACTTTTATACAAAGTAAAATTTTACTTTCAAATTCAGGTCGCAACATTTTACTCTTAGATTCAGAGTAAAATTTTACTCTTATACAGAGTAAAATTTTACTTTTATGTACTTTTAGATTTCTTTTGTAACATTTTACTCCTATATCAGAGTAAAATTTTACTCTGCTTGATGGCTCTGTTTACAATGAGAGTAAAATTTTACATTTATACAGAGAAAAGTTTTACTTTCAAATTCAGGCCGCAACATTTTTACTCTTAAATTCAGGGTGTAGAGTAAAATTTTACTTTTTTGCAGAATAAAATTTTACTTTTAGATTCCTTTTGTAACATTTTACTTCTATATCAGAGTAAAATTTTACTCTGGTTCGATTGCTCTGTTTACAATGAGAGTAAAATTTTACTTTTATACAGAATAAAATTTTACTTTCAAATTCAGGCCGCAACATTTTACTCTTAGATTCAGAGTAAAATTTTACTCTTATGCAGAGTAAAATTTTACTTTTATGCAGAATAAAATTTTACTTTTAGATTCCTTTTGTAACATTTTACTCCTATATCAGAGTAAAATTTTACTTTTATGCAGAGTAAAATTTTACTTTTAGATTCATGTTTCAAGTTGTGTTGGTGACACACTGTATGATTTGCCAATCTTTGGCAAACTAAATAGTAAAAATCAACTCTAAAATATAGTACAATGTTACACTAAACCACAGTAAAATTTTACCAATTCAAACTAAACACAAATTGTAGTGACAATAAAATTTTACTTTGATAGTGATAGTAAAATTTTACTTTGATAGTGATAGTAAAATTTTACTGTTAATTGATTTGCAGATTTGTAAAATGGTTCCACCTCTTATGTTGTTATGCAAGTATGGTGATCGTACCATTGTGTTCAAGGTTGTGTCAAACTGCACGTTGAAGGATTTAACTGATTTCTTAAGTTGTAAATTGAAGAAGTTTGACAATAGTGGTTGCATACTGTTATCGTACTGTTTGCCTGGACATTCGCAATGCATGATTGATGATGATTCTGATTTTCAGAATATATATGTTGTCGTTTGTTTATCCCCTTGGTGTTGACCGGGTTGATGTGACTATTACTGAAATGGGCATTTCAAATGAAAAACATGGAGTTGGAGAATCAGGGGACGCTACTGGATCCAACATTACTGATGATGAAATGGATTTACTCCCTATGTTTTGTCAACATGAAGAAAGGACTTTGTTGTCTTGTGGATGAGTAAATGGAATTACTCATGTAGGTCAAAGATTTATTGGAGGTGCAAAGGATTTTCGGACTGCATTATGTAAATATGCCATTGAGATAGGATTTGAGTTTGTGTATGTGAAGAATGCGAAGTGTCGGGTCACTGTTGTGTGTTCAATGCGGGAATCGAAAGCTTGTTTATGGCGAGTACATTCATCTCTGGAAAGTGCTAATAATTTTTTCTACATTAGGACTCTACATGATGAGCATACTTGTGGAGCTGCAGTTCGTACTTCTAAAAACTCAAGGATGAGTTCAAATTTGATTGCAAGTTTGATTGTTAATGAAGTTCGTGGGAATCCCCAAACTCGTCCAATTGATGTTGTGCGTCAATTTACAGATCAATACGGGCTCACCATTACGTACAATCACGCTTGGTTGGGAGTTGAGAAAGCTAGAACTACTACTTTTGGAGATTTCTCTATGTCTCATGATGAGATTCGATGGTATATGGATATTGTGATGAGCACAAATCTTGGTAGCTATTTGCGTCTTAACTATAACCATCAAAGTGGACGGTTCAAGAGGTTTTTTGTTGCATTTAATGCTTCCATTCAAGGGTTTAGGCATTGTCGTCCTCTATTGTTTATCGATGGAACTTTTTTGAAGGGAAAATATAAGGGCACCTTGTTAACAGCTACAACGAAGGATGGGAATCAAGGTAGATATTACTACAGTTTATTCCAAAGTAACAAGTTACTTATTCTCAGATTAACATGTTATTGTTGTTCAGAGTAAAAATCTACTTTATTTGTCTTTTTCGTTTAAGATACTTACTAATTGTAAAATGTTATTTTCCAAGTTTTTTCCCGCTTGCAATGGCAATTGTCGATACAGAGACTACAGACAGTTGGGAATGGTTTTTTATGCATTTGTCGAATATATTGTTGGATGAAAGACCAATTACCTTCATATCTGATCGGAACGCTGGACTTTTGGAGGCTTTACCCAAGGTTTTACCTACTACTTACCACTATTTTTGTCTCCAACACTTGAAGGCCAATTTGAGGGATAGGTTCTCTGGTCCAAGTTTCAGCAATACTTTCAGGGGTAGAATAGTTTTTTTGTTTTCTTTGTGTGCTTACGCTCCGACAGTGGGATGTTTTAATCAGTGCTTAAAAGAATTACAAGATGAGAAAAAAGGGATCGTTTGTGGGTTTCTATCCAATTTGCCCTTTGTCCGGAGATGGATTCAACATTAGTAAATGCTCTTAAAAATGGAAGAACTTGGTTGGTTAGTCGTTCAAGTGATCACGTTTTTGAGGTTCAATCCCGGCCATCGGTTAGCGTTGACCTCTTGAATAGAACTTACTCATGTTACCAATGGCAATCGAATGGATTTCTTTGTGCTCACGCGGCGACTGCTATCCAAATGAGCGGAGGTGATTTGTATGCACATATGGAGCCATTTTATTACACTAGCAAGTTCAAAGATTGCTATGCTGAGTCCATTTATCCAATACCCACTGTTGAGAAACCTCTTGTAGCTATGGATGATCTTGTTGTTCTTCCTCCAATTTGTAAAAAGCCACCTGGTAGGCCAAGGAAGAATAGGATCCCATCTAGGGGTGAGAAGATAAGACGAGTACAGTGTGGTAGATGCAAGAAGTACAGTCATAATAGGAAGACTTGCAAGGAGGCATTGCCGTGAAAGACATTATTGATTTTATAATAGAAGTATGAAAATAATGCAGTTCTTCTGCAATAAGTAGTCCATAGCAATAATAGTATAGTCTTTTAGACTAGATTTGTCAGGAGACATTGTAATAAAAGACATTTTTACTATGTTCTTGAATGGTTGTCTGTTCTAGTTTTTGATTTGTTTTGTCGTTGAATGGTTGTCTATGGGTGTGAGGAGCTTGTGGTTTCACAGTAAAATTTTACTATGTTCAGAGTAAAATGTTACTTTTATATTAAAATTTTACCTTATTTCAAAGTAAAATTTTACTTTTATGAAGGGTAAATTTTACTTTAGTGCAGAGTAACATTTTGCTTTTAGATTTAGAGTCCAAATTTTACTCGCCCTTCAGAGTAAAATTTTACTTTCATACAGAGTAAAATTTTACTTTTGTACAGAGTAAAATTTTACTTTTAGATTTAGAGTCCCAATATTACTCGCCTTTCAGAGTAAAATTTTACTTTCATACAGAGTAAAATTTTACTTTTGTACAGAATAAAATTTTACTTTTATACAGAGTAAAATTTTACTTATTCCGGCTGTAACATTTTGCTCTTAGATTCAAAGTGTACATTTTATTCTTATTTCAGAGTAAAATTTTACTTTTATACAGAGTAAAATTTTACTTTCAGATTCTTCTGGTAACATTTTACTCTTATTTCAGAGTAAAATTTTACTTTTAGATACATAGTGCAATAATTTACTCATCTTTCAAAATATAAAGTAAAATTTTACTTCATTTCAAAGTAAAATTTTGCTTTATTTCAGAAAATATGTTAGTCCCCTTAAAAAAACATTTCCAACTTGCACCAAAATCCACAACACACAAACTCCCAGATAATCATCATGCAATCTTTGTGCAAAAAAAATCTAACAATACAACTACATATATCATCAACATTCATTCCCACTCAAAACAACATTCATAGCAACATTCATTTCACTTACATTCCCAGTCAAAACAAAATTCATAGCAACATTCATTCCAACATTCAGCCAAAAAAAATTTAAGCCTCTACCTGTATCATTGTATTCTATCCATAACAACATTCATTCCCAGTCAAAACAAATATCCTTGTATAATAATCACCAAACTACAGTAAAATTTACTAGAACAATAGACATAGCATCTACTATCTAATACTCTTTTAGTATTGTTTCACTTACAATTACTTTTTCACCGTTCTTTCATTTACAAAAACCGAAATTACAAAAATCATTCACAGTAGTTCCCCAGAACTTGTCCACATTGTCATCCTTGAGGTCTTAGCTCCTGTCCATTTTTTTTTTTTGAGGTTGAACTGTTCCTCAGTCCATGCTTTTGGATAATCATTCAAAAATTAATGCACTATTGACGCTCGAAAATTGTTAATTTCATCATCTTCCATAGAATTTGCAATAGGCTCATCTCTTATGATTTGGCGCATAATATAACATACAATAATTCCACAATCAACACTATTAAATAAAAATCAATACCTTGTTAGATTTAGTCAAATTTGAAAACTACCAATTCAAGCATGTAATAGTAGCGTGAAATACTTACGATGTTGGGCGTTGTTGTGAACTATTTTTCACCGAAACCAAGTTTGCAAACTTTCTTCTACCTCTCTTCGTTTTGTTGGCCAACTTGCTATCCACATATGTTGTCTAACATCATTGCATAATTGTTTGGTCACAATTAAATTCAAGAATAAAACACAACAAAAAATTATTGTTAATATGATGTAAAGCACTTACAATCTTTTTTGCATCCTTAAGGTAAGGATCTTCTCTGTTGTCTCTTGGCCTTAAAGAATTGTAATGTCTCCACTCATCAAGTTCAGTGTCAAATACAAGAAGTGTCCAGTGGTTGGGTTTTTCTTCCTTTTTGTTCCCATTGGAATTCATGCAAAAATGAAGGTATCTATATCCACTCAAATCTTGTTCGAGGACTTTATCAATTAAATGATTTCTCAGCTCCCCATAACCCCATTTCACTAAAGACTGCATTTAATCATATAAGAGTGTCATGTCTCAAGTTGTGTTAGTGACACACTGTATGGGTTGTCAATCTTTGGCAAACCAAATAGTAAAAATTAACTCCAAAATATAGTACAATGTTACACTAAACCATAGTAAAAATTTATCAATTCAAACTAAATACAAATTGATGGCTTACCCAACAAAGGCTTGAGAAAAAGAATGATTTATTCTTTTCTGGCTTCTTGACTTGTTGCTCAATCTCAAGCATTTCTATGAAGCTGTCAATGACCTACAAAAATAAAAATCAATTAAATATATGTTAATAAAATAAACTATTTTTAGTTATTAAAGTGAACACTAGTCATTGAAACTTGTATGGCCACTTACATTATTTGCAGTATCACCATCTCTGAGAATTGCATCCACATCATGCAATGTAACATATACTCCATTTCCTGTGCCGGACCATATGATTGCACTAGTCATAAGGTAAAAAAAATGTTGATTAACACGTTGCAGTTTGATAACAGTAAAAATTTGTTGTTTGACAAAATTAAAATGGTCTTACTCTGTGGTTTCCAAATTGTAAATCTTGTTCAGTAGACACTTATCATTCTCATCAAGCAATTTGCATATTGCAGCCTTATCTGGAAACAAAACCCTTTCAACTGGCTTTGCTTGGCTTAGAGACAAGTTGTCAACACAATTCACTTCTTTTGACATTACTTTAATTGCATGTTTTGTGGTCTTTTTTTTCTTTGCCTCTCTTGGCTCATATTCAAAATCAAACATCTCTTTTTTCTTCTTCGCCTTGATTTTGATTTTCCTGACCATGGATGTTTGCAATGGCTCTACGACTATAGGTGATTCTTTCAATGTACTTTGAATCCCAATGTTTTGCTCTTGTTCTACTCCTTCAGCATGTGGCATTTCTTTAGAAGCAAAACCTTGGGTAGCCGCATGAACTGCATTTTCTTCAATCTGTTCAACCAACTATTTATTTTCAGATTCGAGTACTTCAATCTCCTTTCTCAGTTTCTCCATTTCTTTCTCTGTGTTGCTCATCTTTTCCATCGTTTCTTTTGTTTTTGCCTCTTGATCCTCTTCTATTTTTTGCATTGTTTCCATCATTTTCTTCAGTTCTTCAACCAACATTCTCACTTTTCAGCCTTTTGTTTTCCTTTTGAAGATCAATGAAGTCCTTCAAAGGTTGATCATCTCCTAAAGCTTCAGCTACATGATCTTCATCTTCTTCAGTCTCCAAATTTTCCTCCATGTCCAATGCATCTTCTTTAGTCTCCAAATTTTCCTCCATGTCCAATGCATCTTCTTCAGTCTCTAAATTTTCCTCTATTTCCAATGCATCTTCTTCATCATCATTGCAAATGAGGGCTATTTCTTCTCTGGAAATGGGCTTCAGTTCATTGTGATTTACCTGCATTTGAAAAATAGAAAAAGAAAAGAAGCCAGCAATTAAGCAAACTTTAACCACTAGAGTAAAATTTTACTCTGTTTCAAAGTAAAAGTTTACTCTGATTGTAAGTAAAATTTTACTCAGTTCAAGAGTAAGTAAAATTTTACTATGTTTCAAAGTAAAAGTTTACTCTGACTGTAAGTAGACTTTTACTCTGTTCAAGAGTAAGATTTTATTCAGAGGCAATTGAATACATTTAGAGATTATGAAGTGGGAGAGGGTGAAATCCGCAAGCTCGTGGTCGATACCACCTCTCATTTTAAGCCGAAGGTTTCTCATGCCGTGTCTCGTCTTTCTCTCTGCAAACTGAGCCACTGTGTGGACCTAACTCAGTGGGTTCGTGACGGTTTTGATGGCCTTGAAGGAGAGGAAGATTGGAAAGAGAATAAAGTTAGCAAGCAGGAAGAGGAACAACGACCGACTAACCACGTGCATCGTTTAACCACCATCTCCAATATTAATGAAGAGACTATCAACAAGAAGGGGGTTACTTCTTGTTGTCGGAAGTGCCAGCAGGAAATCATCACAGGTGAAGAAGGTCCATGTCCAACGACCTACTACAAATGTGCTAACTGTGATCTAGTCCTCCACAAATCGTGTGCCGAGACACCCAACAAGGAGGAACTTAAACCTTTCCATTGTCTTCCTTTTCGCGACCCATCCTCACTCGAATATTCATTTCCCGAGACGTATAGTTGCCATTTCCACTCAGATGCCGACAATGGGGGATTCTCGTATGATTGCCCTGAATGCCTCTTCGAGAGCCACCTAAGATGCGCTATGTTGCCCTCTGTTCTACATTTTCATGACAAACTCCATAAGGGTCCCCTGTTCTTTGCTATTTTTCCTGCCAGACATGATAGGACCTTTCACTGTCAAGCATGCGGTCATGAGGGCAAAGACGCCTTCTACATGTGTAATGACTGCCCATTAATAATGCATGTCAATTGTGCTCTGCTACCTCCCACCCTCAAGTACCAACCTCACCGACACACTCTCACCCTTACCCGTCCTCTCCAGGTCCAAGAAGACTCAGAAACGGAGTACATATGCGACACGTGTGAGAATGGAAGAGACCCATACCGATGAGTCTACGAATGTCTGGAATGCGGCGTGTATACATCTCATTTGAATTGCGTAGTTCCCGTGAAGTTGAACTTGCCTTGACTCAGTGGGCGAGTATGCACTTTCCCATTTTCATTTTTTTTTTTTCTACATCAGGATGTTGGGGTCAGGGAAATATCAGCACTAGTACAATCTCGAGATCACCGATCTCTCACAAATGCAAATATTCGCAACTATAATATTGAGTGTAACGTTGTCAGCCATCTTGCATTTATGAATATATGCAATTTATCTTTATTTGACTTTGGGGTACTTGGTAACTCCTCTTCTGAGTCATCAGAAGTTGAATCACTCATAGAGTGCTCTTTTTCAAGATCATTATTCACATAATCACCATAAAGCCTACAAATGGCATCAAAAACAAAAGTACTCTGCGAGTTGCCATCACTTCTCTCACATTTAGAGGAAAGATATTCGATGTATCTCATCTTACAACGTGGATCCATGACTGAAGCAATTGCCAAAACCAAAAACATATCATTCAAGTATTTATCAATTCTCTGTAGCATTTTCTTGGCCACATTGCTGGCGAAACTATCTGAGTTGATGGATTATGAAGAATGATGTTGGCAGTTGGATACTTTTGTTTCAAATAATGACTTAGCTACATCATGTGCAATTTCAACCAGCTTATAAACACATTTGACTTTCCTCCATTCATCAGTAGATGGTATATCATAATTATCACGCACATGTTGTGAAGAAAACTCTCCCATTAACTCCAAATCTAAAGCCTGTTTTAGCTTGAAGGCTGTGTAATCCCATCGAGGTGAATAATTCCACAAGATTAGACAACAAACCTTTCTAATGATGTTAGATATCTCCTTAAATGCATCTTCCGTCATTAGATTAAACATCTCAGCACAACAGTTCACACAAAATAGCTGTCCGTTAAGTTTGGAGCCTCTTCTTTTCTTGAATGCGATCTTTAGTAATCTGAACCACTTCGTCATAAACATTGATATTTGCCAAAGTGAGACCAGCTATCTTGCCCTTGATGCGCCAAGACTTCAGAATGGCCTGATCAAGGCAATCATCATTCTCAGCCCAAAGTGGATGAAAACTAAGAACCCACTTTTTTAATTTCCACTTGTCATCAATAAAATGTGCCGCTAAGCACATGAACTCATAGGTAGAGCCATTACGCTTGGCATAGCTCAAGCTTTCAACGAAAAGGCTAATTTGTCCATCCATGTTGGTTAAAATGTGTTTAACCCTCAATTTATCTTCCTCATAAATTTGCAAGCAATTATCTTTGAGAGAATCATAATCTAGTGGAAACCATGGAAAAAGCTCTGCCACGAGACTAACAATCTGTAGCCTCCCTTCCAAGCACATGCACTTTGCAAATTCACGCCGCCCTTTCTGTAAGTCAATAACAGCATCCACAACAGTGTCGATACTGATTTTAGTATCTGATACAGAATCACCATCACCATCATCATCTTCATCATCAGAAGCATCCAAATCCCAATCATAATGATTATCATTATCATTCCATTAGACACCATCAGCATCATCAATTTCATTATCCTGCTTCTTACCTAATGAAAGCAACCAATATGTTGAGATAGTTATATAGAAGCAACAAGCCAAAGTAACAGTAAAGGGGCATGAGATACTCTGTCTCCAAATTACTATGTTTCAAAACACTCACAGCTGTTGGGTAATGCTTCGAGATTTCACAGCTGTTGGGTAATGCTTCGAGATTTCACATGATTCAATGACTATGAGTGTATTGGGGCAAACAGTAGGTTTTTTTGGGCATTTCAAAGTGTCCAACCCATTAATGAGAGAAAATATTGAGTCACTGTGATGCACTCTCAAAAGTATCCAAACCTTTTTCTTAACAAATTTCATGGTGGCATTGAACTAAAAATTGCAACTTATATATTGTATAACATTTCCAAAAAAAAAAAATAATTGCAAACAATTAGTTTTGAGAAGAAATTACCATTAACAACACCATCAACTCCATTGATTTCATTACCAAAGTAATTTTTCCCCTTTTTCATACAAGCAGTGTCATCAATTTCTCGGTTCTGCATTGTATCTAACCAAAAACAACAATATTTAACACACACATAATATAAAGTGATGACGTAAATACAAAATTGAAATAAAAAAATTTGTGGCCTAGCTATTAAAAATTCAAACATAGAACAAAGTAAAATCTCAACCAAACAGGCATTTGATAGAAATTAATCCATAATGGCTAGCAAAGCAACAACCAAACCTGATTTCAAAGTGATTGGTTCGAAATGCTTGAGAGAGAATTTGGGCTCATTGTTAGGTGCTTTGAGAGTAATATTGGGGGAATGATTGGCGCGGGAAAATTAGGAAGGCCTTGTTATGATTTACTTTAGCCAATCTTATTTTATTTGGATTACATTTCTTTTTATTTTGGGCACATCACCTCTCTGTTATATTGAAAATCTTTTTATAAAAAATCAAAAAATATATTAGTTTAGTATATCCCAAACAACTCCCGTTCACTTGGCTAATGAGAGCGATGATATTATGGTTGTGATTACTTTGTGAGTATGATGAACCGTTTAGATTAATTGAAGATCATGAGAGTGTAAGTCATCCAGTATTTAATACTACATAAAAATATATTTAAATATATAAAAATGTATATTAAAAAATGTATAAAAATATGTACTATTAAAATTTTAATTTATTATTTTTTAATTATTAACAAACGAACATTTAAATTTTTTTATTATTTATTTTTTATGTCAAAAACATATATTTTTTTTAAAAATACCATGTTACCTTCTGTTCTACAATAACAATTTGTCATACTTAAAATTTTTATGA